GCTGACTTTCACAACATCTTACCACACCTTTACTCTGAACCCTTTTATTAACTGCCCAATACAAAACCGGTTGGGTAAGTTCTACAAATACCATTTGTTTAAAAAACTACTGAAAAGATTTCTCCTTCCTTTAGCAAACACAAACAAATTGTTTTGTCACTAGCCTGGTCAAAATGTAATGTGCCTTTGTTGTAATGTTATTTTAAATCTTTTTGTAACTATATTATTGAAGACTGTTGCATATTGTAATTTATAAATATCCACACATTGCTTACTTTTTTCTTGACAAGCTTCAGTTGTTAACATGCACTTATTGAATATCTGTATGCTCTATCACATCTGCCCTCATCTAAGAAAAAACACAACAGCAGCTCATATGTAAACATTTATTTCCATTAAAAGTTACACAGATATTCAAACATTTACAGACTTTCAGTCCAGTTTCATGATAAGTATTTTTGTGACTGTGGATTTTTGTTTTAGTTTATTTGTTATAGTTTATTTACTTTTAATTTTACTTGCTTTTAGTCAGTCAAATTCAAAAGAAGTTATGTATTACAATGTCAAACACAAAAATCATGTTCATCAATGTGTACATAGAATCAAAAAGCCAGATAAAAAAATAAGTTTAATTATTTAAGAATTTTACATGATCATGGAAAACACTTGCAACACTCTGCCAGACTACAAAAATATTCTTATTCAAATCAAGAACCAACAACAAATGAAATCATGATGTACTGAATTAATATGCAATGGGTTTTAAACATTAATAGTTGTAACCTGATCATTACTGAGGAAGACTTCCATTTTGGAGGAAGGCAGTGCTTGGGTCTCACAACATGTAAGACATACAGCTGCCAAAACTGCCTTAATGTTCCCATAACTGTAAATAACCAAATCTGCAGTGAGTGAATAACAAAATTCACTTATAAAGCAGGGAGAAATTGTTGGACGTCTTCCCTTACAATCATTTGGTGCTCAGTCATTTCTCTTTAAAACAGATAAAGTGAATGTATTGTTGAAAATGTATATCTGTATTGATTGAGATCTTATATTGGTGTTGATTTTATTTGTACTTCTAAGTTGTGTTTATTTTTTAATGTATATTCTTATTTACACTGTACAGCACTTTGGTCCACCCTGGTTGTTTTTAGTGCTTTATAAATAAAGCTGGAATGGAATAGAATGGAATACAATATACACAAAGTGCAAGGAGGCACTTTAAACATGAAAATATAAGCTGCTGCTTATATGAACAGAATATACAGTTGCTACAGTGTGAGAGATATTGCCCCCTTTTTTTCTCTGTTGAGCCTCCAACTTTCTGTCCTTGTTAATTTTCCTCTCTTGCGCTCAAAAATGCACATGAACACCCATAAACTCCAGTATACAGGCGTACAGAAGCTCTTTTCTTCATGTATAAAGAACACATATACAAAAAGTAATAAACATATAAATAACTGGAAGGGTATACCCTTCACATACAGCTGTCTGCAACACATCCTGTAGGGTATGTTGTCACACTTAACAGCCATGCTCTCTCCTCTTATGGTCTAAGTCCTAACCTTTGCTTATTAGACCTGACTATGTCAGGATGACATAGGGTGTAATTCCCTAAGTCACACAATCAAAGCTAATGAACCTTTCTTACAGTGTTTATGGACATTTAATAAGAAGACAGGGTGTCTCAGAAATCGCAGGTACACAAAACCAGTGATAGTGACAGACATTCAATGATGAAATGTTACATTCCAATGTCTTGATCAGATTTTTCCTGAGACAATATTTTCTCTTACATAGCCCTTGATTTAAATGAAACTGGCAAGGTCATCATCCACACATCAGCTCTCTGCTCTTTCAATACAAAATACAAATGAGATGTTACACGAGGAAGAAGAATTCTTTTGTTGACAGGGCAGAAAGCTTGCAGCAACACCAAATAAGGTCCTGAGTCAACCAAATGTTTTATTCTGCTGTAAAAATCCATTAAATATTGAGTTCACCACAGTTTGTGTCTAATTGGTGCAAATGGAAGATCTAATACAAATGGTGAGTCATATGTAATTTGCTCCAGTAGTTACCTGGATAGGTAAGTGAAAGAAAAAGACTACCTGACTGTTTGCTCTTGCAGTACAATTGTTTCTGCTAAGTTTCCCCCTTTTTCATCTTTTTGTATGAGACTCTTTTGTTCTATTTAATAGTTGTCTCAGCAGAAAACAAAAGCTGGTGGCGCTCAGGGTAAGGAGCAGAATCTGCTTTATTTGCATTTCAACAGTACATCCTCAACAAGTGAGAACGCTGCAGTCTTGCCATTTTGCCCATGGTGACCTGTAAGTAATTATCAAGAACATCTAACTATTGGTTCAAGGCACCATCATTTCCAAACTGTCACTGGTTGGTAGCAGAGAAGCCACTGTTCATTACATTCAGGCCAGTGACCCTGGGGCAGAGTTGAGTTTGTGAGTGTCCAACATAAACAGGTCAACATAGACACTGATACAATGATATAGTGATGGTGTTTACATGGCATTGTGCTTTGTTATTGACATACTTAAATAAGAACTTAGACAATTATAGACTTTCAGAGTTGGCCATGTATTTTATAGATTCTCTGCCAAACCGAATTACATAGTGATCAGTTCTCAAAACGATCACAATGCAACTTTAACAAAAGGTTGTATCATGAGGCAGTAGAATATCAACAAAACTCTATAAGTGATATTCTCTGAATTTAACAACAGTGTTGCTGTTGGTAATTCAGAAAACTAGCTAGAATATACATAGGAAAGGATCTGAGGTAAGTAATTCATGAGTCACTTTGGATGAAACTGCAGTATTTATGTATACCACTGGCTACAAGATCTCTGATGGCCAATGACTGAAAATTGTAATTTGGTCAGGACTGCCACAAATGCATGTCCAATTAAGTAGAAACTGACAAAAGAACATTTAAAAAAAATGAAATCAAGACATAACACAACAAAACACAAGTCAGTATAATTGTGTACAAGACAATGCATTACATACATTTAAATTTAATGAAAGAAAGAAAGAAAAAGAAGATAAAAAGAATCATAAAAAATAGCCTTTCATTTTGGTATCACAAAAACTGCTTTTTCATTGGATTAATAAATAAATATAGAAATATTTCTTTAGCTTTTCACCCATTTTAAAAGCATTTTTTTTGCAAATATATACTGTATATATAAATATTACATTTATTATTCACAAAGACAAATAAACCATTATAGAAAGTGACGCTGCAAAAAAACACCAACACAGACACAAAAATTAAAACGAGCACATAGACAGAGCTGGGGAGAATTGTCTACATACAAGTTTCTATGTCTGTTAATGTTACATGTACCTTGCAGTCACCTATCAAGATTGAGTTGTGGTGAGCGTACACATTCTGGTTGGTGTTATTTTCAAAGAAGGATTGTGTCTTTGCCATCTCAAAATCATCCATCCGGCTGTGTTGGGCATCAAAGGTGTCAAGCTCGTCTTTTGAGAGGTGGTAAACTATACCCGCTCCATAGGAGTCACCAATCACATTGACAGAGGTACGGAAACGATCCCTGGTGTGAACAATACAGTAAGATAAATAGTGAAAAAACATAACACTGTAGCAAAGAAAACACAGATCCTCCTATTAATTTATTCTTTACATTTTCTGTAGTCTTGCTAGCATGGCTCTAGTCATGGCAGTGTTGGTCACTTGGTTGGCTCACTGTGGTCCAGGCTATTAGATGGATTGCCATTTAAGTTGTGTACAGACATATATGAACCCCCCCGGACAATTAATCTTAATTATTTTGATAATCTCTTAAATGTTTTCTTTAGTGTCACCTCAGGCTTTTGGTGAACTATCAAGACAACTATTGGATGAAAATTTGGTACAGATTGTTCTTTCAGTGCTCAAGACAAATTCTAATTACCTTGGTGATCTCTTCACCTTTCATCTAGTTCCATAACCACAACAAAATCTCATTTTGGGAGGGATTTTTTTTATCACCAGATACCTGCAAACTTAATCACATTTCCATCCGCCTTAGCTGTACTGAAGAAGCAAATGTTAGCATGCTGACAAGCTAAACTAACATGAGGAACATGGTTTATGTACATGTTAGCATGCTCATGTTAGCAAATAGCTCAAAGCACAACTGTGCCTAAGTACAGCTTCAAAAAGCTGCTAGCATAACTTTAGACTTTATGTTATTTGATTTTAGACCATAAACACACACGCACACACAAAAGAAAATGCAAAATGAAAAGACAATAAAACAGGATACTGTGCTTGCCAGTGTGAATATGTTATTAAAGTTGTTAAAATGTATAGAAGGCCACCTTTTCTATGAATTACTCACAGTCCCATTTAGCCCAAGAGTCAATATGTTATCTGTAATTAGTTGAGTACTGTTTGTAGGTGGTGTGGCGTAAGCACTGCTAACAGAGAGGAAACTGTTTTTCTTTTGATTAAAAATTGATCTTTTAGTTGTGTGTTTTCTGAATTGGTACAAAGATGTCATTGAGTGGGACATAATGAGAAGTAAAATTGTAACTCTTCAGACAACTTATTGTAGCCTGACAACCAGAGTTGGATGGGTTTTGTACACCCCCAAAACATATGGCTGTGATGGGAAAAACATCACTGCTGACTGTGTAATGAGACACATCATAACTACACATTTGAATTACAGTTAATTATCTGTTTTGGTTCAGCCACTATTATATCTACACAATCTAAACATTGTAAACTGAAGTATTACATAAGCAAATTATAAAAGAAAAAATGAGATAATAAAATCTCAGAGCTTTTAAAATACAGCACAAGGACAGTCACTAGTATGTGGCAGTGAAATATTCAGATTTAGATGCAAGGTGTTGGAACGTGTCTGTATATTCTGAATAATACTATTTGTGGTGATGCTGAACTCACAACAGCCAGTCGACAGCAACCAGGAGGCTGATGTCCTGGGTGGGGAGCCCAACTGCTGTGAGGATCAGAAGCATGGTCACAAGTCCAGCACTGGGGATACTTGCTGCTCCAACACTGGCCAGGGTGGCTGTCATACTGATGAGGAAACAAATTCTCAGCTGGAGGGCTCCAAAATTCCACTGTCACAATAGACTTTCTACTTTCAGTCACTCTATTTTATTTAAAAAATATCTGAAATGGCTGATCAGTCAACAAGGAAGTGCATGCAATTTCTATAATTATGAAAATTATCATTAATAATTTTTTGACATTGTTTGCGAGAAACAAACACAGTGCACTTTAATTACAAAAGTTTATATATATATATATATAGATAGATAGATAGATAGATAGATAGATAGATAGAGAGAGAGATAATTTTAAATAATTATATTTCAGTCAGGCAGATTTAAACTCTTGAGCAGAATATGGCTATTTTAATGCCAAAGTATTACCTTGCAAATACTGTATGTTGTGATATCATTTCTCTCATTCTCACCTGACAGTAACAATCTGGCCCCAGTCGAGATCAATCCCATTCATCTGAGCAATGAAGATAGCAGCCACAGCCTCATAAAGCGCTGTGCCGTCCATGTTGATGGTGGCACCCACTGGGAGGACAAAACGTGTTACTCTCTTGTCGATTCCCAGGTTCTCCTCTAAGCATCGGAACGTGACAGGCAAGGTACCGGCGCTGCCACAAGTAAGACAGGAAGAAATGCTTTAATTAAGATAGTCACAAGCAACCATGCAGTGAGGTTTATTTTGCTAACTCTGCAGTAAACTTGGCACCTAACACTTGCAGAAAAGAGAAAACACTTTAGCACAACTATAATATAGACTTTCTCTTGAGAATTGATTTGACATGTTGGTGAGCAATAGTTTTAACCTTAGCTACACTGTTCTTCTATTCATACTGCAATTTTTCACTCTGAACTATAGAAACTGTAATTTTTGCATTGTTAATTTGTTAGAGCAAAGAGACTAATATAGGCTTTCATGAGTTTAGCTCCACTGAAAACACACAAACTTATACAAGTTTGTATTCACTGTGACTCTCAATGAGAGCAGTGGTTGCGACCCTACAATTGTTTTTTTTTTTAATTTGATAATTAATAACTGCCTCTTGTAGATGGTGGAGCAGTGAGCAGGATGACACTCGAAAGAACTGAGCTCACATCAGGAGGGGGGAGAGTGTCTCATGTCATAAATAAAACATTTAGTTAAGGAGAGGTATCCCACATGGAGGCAAAGTGAAAAGCTGTCGCTGATAAGACTATGTTGTATTTACCACTTGAAATAAAAGTTACAGTTATTATTTGCTATAGAGAAATTTGAATATTTATAAAATCATGTATCACCCTGGAAAGAAAACCTGAATTAGAAATAGTCATACTACTATGCTGCACTCAGATGGAACCAGCTTCCTGATGACCTTACAGTAAATGTGCCCCTAGCTACTTTTAAATATAAGCTGAAACCTCGACTGTTGCCCTGTACTTTTGACAAATTGGTTCTCTACTGCACATTTGTTTTCTGTGTTGCATCCTGGGCAGTTTACAATGTATTATTGCACTGTAAGTGTTAGTCATGTTTCAGACATTTTATTTTGTCTATTTGTTTTTTTATTTCCATTTTATCTCAGTTTTACAATGTTATATTTTCATTTTGCCTTGATTGATGTTATTCTGGTTTCAGTTGTTTTTAATGCTGCTATTGCTTCTCTTTACCCACATAAAGCACTTTGAACTGCTTCTGTCTATGACATGTGCTATGTAAATTAAGATGCCTTGCCTTGCCTTGCCTACTGTGTTCACTGGTGTTTGTGAGTGTAAATCCTACAATATTAAAGAAAATTAAAGGCAGAAATCTCTCATACCTAGATGCTGTTCCAAGTGCTGTGACCCAAGCCTGGAACATTCCCATGAAGAACTTGAATGGGTTTTTTTTTACTATTACAAAATATATCACTGGAAGGAAGATCCCTCCATGGATGATGAGGCCCACTATCACAGTAACCATGTACATCCCCAGCTGTCTTGCAGCCACCTCCAGATCAGCAATGGAGATGATCTTTCCACAGATGAGACAGGCAATGCCAACAGGGGAGTACCTTAAGATGCAGAGAACACAGAGGACATGCTTGTGATAATGATGACATTTTTATATAACATTTATATATCATTTGTAAATTAGCTGTTAGCTTTGGGCTGTTTTATACACACATCCTCACAGATAGATAGATAGATAGATAGATAGGTAGGTAGGCACAGACAGACAGACAGAGTAGGCAGACAGACAGACAGACAGATAGATAGATAAATAGATAGACAAACAAACAGACAGATAGATAGATAGATTGATAAACCAGGGTAATGGCTTTGGCAGTTTTACTGAACCTGCAGTGAGCAGCACTTACCACATAATTGCGCTGACAAGCCTCATAACAATTTCATTGAGGACATTGAAAAACTCAAACATCAGCTTGGCCTTTTCTCCCATTTTCCCCATAATGACTCCAAAAGAAACAAAGAATCCAATCAAACCTGTAAAAAATAAAAATACAGAAATATTAACTTTGTCTCAAATTGAATATTAAGATTCTAGAATGATAGCTAATTACTCATTATAAGTCGTATGTGCACTTTTAAAACACTTTAAACTAGTTTGACCATGGAAGTAATGGATGGGAAATTTGTTCACCATATGCTGAGGAAGGCTTGTTTTTGGCTGTCCCTGTGAGTGTGTGTTTCTTAATCTTCATATCTCAAAAATCAGCTTTGGTGGGAAGTTGACAATAACTAGTTTCGACATGTATACAGTCATTTTCTAAAGAACTGTTATATAACTTTATGTGGTACACCTCAAAAACGGCATGACCACATTTGAATTATTAAATAACAGTTCTTCTGTATTTCATTTGAAGACGGCAATGCACTGTGTACACTGGAGGACCAGGTTAAGTTGCATATCAATGAAGAGTTGGCGTCACAAGCCAAAGCAACATTGAGGTAGGAACCATTGTGAAGGCAGCAGTTGCGCCAGGTGTGTCTTATGGGTGAGGCCTTCCGCTCAGCTTCAGAGACAATTTGGAACGTGAACTGAGAGCCTCATGTCCTCATTGTTGTTAAATATATCTGTGTTTTCCAGGTCAGTACACAATGTGAAACCAATGCCGTAGATAGTGAGTTACATAATGCGAGTGTGGGCGGCCTCTGTAATAGGAATGAACATTGCCCCTCATTGTGCATTCCAGGATCTATGAATGTTGCCGTCATCCCTTATGTGGATTTGAATAATTTTGCACGCCCAATTTTTCAGTTTTTTATTTGTTAAAAACGTTTGAAATATCCAATAAATTTCGTTCCACTTCATGATTGTGTCCCACTTGTTGTTGATTCTTCACAAAAAATTACAGTTTTATATCTTTATGTTTGAAGCCTGAAATGTGGCAAAAGGTCGCAAAGTTCAAGGGGGCCGAATACTTTCGCAAGGTACTGTACATAAAAACATCTGGCACATGTCTGTAACTTTTATATTTTGATACAGTTTTTGGATCAAGATGAAGGCTGCAAATTTGCAAAGAGTATACAATCATACAGTGCAGCATTCATGGAGTTACAGCGTGTATTGTCTGAATGTTTTGGTTATGTAAATGGAAAGAAAAAACCTACCCAGGACATTCATCCCACCCTTGAAGTGAAGCGACCTTTTGACTGTGAAGTGTGGGGGTGCTTTGGTCTTGTTAGTGTGCACTGGTACTTTTGTGGTTAGTGTCTGGATCTGGACAAGAAGCAAAAGAAAGAACAGAGTAGGAGCAACAGGCATATGAATCAGACTTCACATGGTGGGTGAAAATTCTCTGTGAGACTCCAGCTTGTACCTGCTGAAAGCAGGCCTGCACCAAATTCTCTGGGAAAAGATTTCGGATGAGATCGAAGAGAGTGTCCATGCTGGACACTTCATCGTTCTTATTTCCCCGCTCGAGATTGGCCCTCAGCTTGGGGTTCCCCGGATGGATGAGCAGCACCAGGATCACCCCCAGGACTGCTGCGATCACTGTTGTTGACATGTAGTACACCATGGCCCTGGTGCCTAAGCGGCCACTGGATTTGGCGTCCAAACCGGCTAGTCCTGTTGTCATAGTAAGTTTTACGGGAAAATAAAGTAAGGGTCCAATATTAAAACATAGCCTAAAAAAATGTATATTATATGTTGTGACATGATCCTACTGAAAGATTCATAGATATTAATAAGGTTAGATTTTGCTGGTCTCATATGATTTAATAATAATAATAAGTATTATTATTATTATTGCTAATATTATTAAAATAATAATTAATTAAATATGTATCTTGCTCATAATTCTCAGTAATTTACATAAAAGATCTGACCTGTTTGTCAGGTATTTATGATGTAACATGACAGTTAATTTGATAAGCTTCCCTCAGCTGTCCTTTATTCAGACCAGCCTGCAGCAAGTCTTTACACATAAGGGCTAGCTCAAAGAGAGGTGCTGTGTTCTGAGGGCATGTATTTATAAAGTTCAGGCATGACAGCTAAAACTGACTGAGGCCATAAATCAGGTTTGTTAAACAGGTGTACAGTGATCTTGATGCACATAAACAGTTGAAAAGCATAAAATAAACAAAAGCATCATTTTCCTTAGTGATGTGAGAGGCTTTCTAAAGCTTTGATTCAACTGAACCAGCTACTAGATGCACCCAAACAAAACCTGTGTACCTCCAGACTTCCCCACAGCTAAACACAAAATGGGTATATTCATAACTTTTCAGTTTACTTGAAAAACCCTCCCCATACTCTCATTTAGTCAATAGCAACATGGCGACATGTTTCACCATGTGACCTTTTTTCAGGTCATTTGTTGACAAATTCAGCAGAACATTTGCAGCAGGTACTGTAGCTCACCCACCTGTGACCAGACTGGAAACAATAAGAGGCAAAATTAGCATCTTTAGCATCCTCATTAGGATCTCCCCTGGGAAGCTGATGATCATAATAACATCAGGAGGGAGGGGCGGTATGTGCCTTAGCAGCATCCCAGTGATAGAACCCAGGAACACACCTGAATCAATGAGAAAACACAACTCAAACACCAAACCGGATGACCGAGGATCCATCAACATTTAATGTGTCTGAATAAAAATGAAATAGCTCATGTTTTTCTCGTAATAACAACATCACAACCTATCATCTTAGAGTGTTGGCGCCATTATGTTACCCTCTGTGATAGCTGTGCAGTGTGTGATAAATTAAACTTTTAACTTCACGCTTACTTAACTAAACACTAAGAACAACACATTTTTCTTGTTTAGTTTGTCCCTAGTACATTGAGATGAAATGTTAAAAGAGGTCCTCACTTACACCTTAGACTGTAATTTAAGTGCAATAGGGTCTCAGTGAAACTCCTTTGGATGCTTGCTACTTTAACATCTAGGAAGAAACTCTGAACTTTTTTCATATTTAAATGACATGCATAGTAGCTCAGTGGTTAATAATGTTGCCTCTCAGCAAGGAGGTCTCATTTGAAAGGATGGGGACTTTTTAAGTAGCGTGTCTATGTTTTCCTCGTATCCTTCCTATGTTTTCCTTGTGGGTGGATGTTCACCTGACGCCCCAGATTCTTCCCACAGCTCAAAGACCTGCAGGTAAGGTAAATTTCCTGTAGGTGTAAATGTGTTTGTCTGCCAAAGTGTGTTGGTGCAGTGATGAACAAACAATCTATCCAGAGTGCACCCTGCCTCTTGCATGCTGGGAAACACTAAACACAGGATACGTTAGAGTTTGAAAAAAAGATGGATGCATAGGAGGATGGCAGTAACAGGACTACAAACTTACCAAGAATTGTGAGAGTAAGAACCATATTCTTCATCATTTTATCACACAGACCACGACATGCACTCTCAGGAGTATCCACTACTGGCTCCACAGGAGCCTCATCCATCCTGACCTCCACTTGCTTCTGCATTTTGTTGGCTCTGAAAGTAGTAAAGAAGAAATAAGAGATGATGTTAATTATTGACAGTGTATAAAATGAGTTTTGGAACTACATTTGCTCATGTTGTTGTGCTTTGGTCATCAAAGCAACAGCTATTTTTTCAGCTTTATTATTATCCCAAAGGAAATGCAATTTGCAGGCTGGCATAATACATTGGTGAAAAGGAAAAGAGTGATACTGCAGTGTTAGCAACAATCATTGGTCAGTGACATTAACAAAATCAATATACATATACAGCCAATAGAAAGTCACTTTCGGCTTTTCCCGTTTAGGGGTCGCCACAGTGAATCATCACACTGACGGCTCGCATTTTGACATTTGGCACATGTTTTAAGCTGGATACCCTTCTTGACGCAACCCTGAGTCAAACCCGGTGCGCAGTGGCACCTTAACCACTAGCCTACCAGGGACAGCTCTACATATAAAGCTAATAAATAACATAACATAAAAACCACAGTGTTCAGAGTAAATAACTTTATATTTTATTTAAAAAGGGGATAACATCAGAATTAAAACAACAGCAGATTAAGCCAACTGAAAAATGAAGTTCTACCACCAGGAATATGGAAGGTAGAAGATTTGCTTAATATCAAAAATTAATGTGCCTTTGCCACTAAGAGAAGACATAAACAACCTTGATACAATAAAGCATGTACCTGGAGCTACACTTTATGAGAAAGTTTTCCATTATTACTGAGTATGAAACAAATAATATCCAAATATGCACAAACATCTGACAAACTTTATAATTCACAGACATGACTTAGAAAACAGTAGGATGTAGGATGAGGCTGTAATGTTCTAGGGTTTGATTCCCAGCAGGGGTATTTCCAGCTTGGCTGGCTATTTCACTATTCACAGCTGGTCAGGTTTGTTGGGAAAGCAACAAGGAATCACGTTTTGGTCACTGAAATATTAATGCCTACTGTTGATCAGGGGGCTTCCCAGGCATTTGAGTGGACAATGTGAGCCTCCCGTGTGTTATATTCTACGCCTCCAGTAGGTCATTGCTGACAGGGAGAAAAAATACATTGGTTGGTGACATCATATGAACTGGAGGACACTCGCGTCTGTCTATTTCCTCACCAGGACAACAGTGTCAAATCTGCAACTCAAACAATGTTGGCGATTCCAAACTGATGAGAAAAGGTGGGCCCAACCCACCAAAGATGGAAAACTGTGTTATTATTGTTGTATTCACAATACTGCATGCAATATTACTATTTTTAAAAAGTGCCCATTGTGTCATTAAGTATTTAATGGAGGCATATGCACACATAACTAACTTCAATTAATAATGTATATTCTGTGTTCCAAATGCATGCAACACTTTGCAAATGGTCGTTCTTTATTAGCGACTGGTGTTCTCAAGCAATTAGCAACGATTCAGTACAAAGCATATGATAATCTGCATTTTAAACATATTACTCCAATTTTCATTGAATAAGCAGAACACCCGCTGTTATTCTTAACATCCTTCCCACTACTGTTGCTGTTTTGTCTGTGCATAATAATTTATGATAATTTGAGATATTCTGTTTATGCGTAGCCCTGCGATGGCTTGGCGACCTGTCCAGGGTGTACCCCGCCTTCGCCCGATTGCAGGCCGGGATTGGCTCCGGCCCCCTCCGCAACCCCGTTCAGGGACTAAGCGGTAGAAAATGAATGAATGAATGAATGAATGAATGAATGAATGAATGAATGTTTATGTGTTGAATCAAAGATGCAAGTGGGGTGGCTGTGGCGGATGATGGTGTAGTTTTTAAGTTACGGCAGTACCAAAAACACCACTAGAGGTCTTTGTAAGATCATCTTTTTATTTTTATTTAAATCCTTGTATTTTTTATGTGCCTACTCGTTTCTTTAATATCTTATTTTGTACAGTGCCGTATTTATATTGTATTTTTAAGTTAATGTCACTTGTTTACACTTTTTATTTTGGGAGTATTAATAGGTACTTTATGTAAGCTATTTATATTGTATTTCATATGTTCAGTTCATT